TAATTCCCCGGCAACGGCGCCAAAATTTGGTCGTGCTGTCGTAGGCACCCAAATTAACCTTGCTTGAATATATGTAGTAGCGTGAGCAAGGATCGTATCCACGGGGAATATTTTAATTAAATGACTGTAACTATGTGATTAAAATGGGGGAGAATTGGTTTTTAATCCTAATTATCTAATTAACAAGAAAATAAAGAAAGCAATAGTAAAAAGTTCTTGAACAAGAGATTCGCAAGCAACAACAAGATGAAGATGAAAAATATTACCAAAGTGCTCCGGTTGAACTGATTTCCACCCCGAATTATTCTACTGATCCTCGATGCAAATATTATCAACTCATAAATACGTAGATGCCGTTGAATGATGAATTCTGACTCCTAAATTGGCTATGCAAAATAAATCCTTCTACATAACCCTTATTACTAAGCAATTCCCAACATCGTGTAAAATTATCCTAGCAATAGCATTAAGAAGTAGAGCGCGACAACACAAGCAACAAATAACTAATCCGTTAAATGCTAACTTGTATAACTATTTTGCCTAAGAATGATAACGCCTAAATCCGGTCAATCACCACACTTAGATGCTTCTTACGATAGATAAATTATCTAAATCCGACTCAATATCTACCAAGCAATAGATTAAGTGCACAAGACAATAGTTGATCAGGCTACGATCCTAACACAAAATCATAAACATAAACACACAAAACAATTAATACGAAATATGAATTAATAGATAAAAACTAATTAAATCTCACAGTATTAAGTTCGGGGTTTCAATCGTGTTCAACCGAAACAAAAGAGAATTAGCCGCGCGGGGCTTCCATGATCCAAGAGAAAAGAAAAAGAAATATAGTGAAGAAAAGAGAGGAGAGAGTTGATGTTCGTGAAGATCCCTCCTGTTGCTCCTTGCGGCTGTTGTACGTGCAGTGTAGGTCTCCAAAAATCTGATCTCCTCATCTTTAATTATGGTTGGACTTTTAATCCTATTGGGCTTAATGTTTACGGGCCTACGTCCAAATCATAAGCTACGCACTGTCCGTCCATACTGACATGGCCATGTTTAAACAAAACCCAGTGCTGCCATGTTGGTTATATGTGCACCATGCGATCTAACTGCACAAAAATATCAACAAAGGTAGTTTCTACTCGAAGACACATGATAAAGTCGAAAACACGTCACTTAAGCACAAATATCCAACACATAGTCCAAATTTTACTATATTATAAACATATATTTTCGACTTATCACATGCTTTAAGTTCATTTTTTCGGTCATTTTGATTAGTGAAATCGAGCCATTTTCACCCCCGAACCTAAGTATATGTGCATGCATGTATAACCAATGTACTAGCCTCATTAGCCATGATTTTTGATGTATATCATTCGGCCCTAAGTCAATTTTCATGTTGAGCATGTTCATTTTCGCGCCCTAGTGTGGCCTCGTGCACAATCGGCCCTATAAGCCCATCTCCAAATCCAACCTAGGTCCCTCGAAACTTTTGGCATTTTTTGAGTATATTATGTCATATTATGTTGGTTTGGTTCAGTAGTCCCCGGAAAAGTTGCCGGAAGTTCGACAAAGGACCGGCTAGGGTCACCAGCCGCGCCAGTAGCGCGTGCCGTGCCCGTGCCGTGTCGCAGAGGCCAGGCAGTGCCTCTGTCCGTGCCCGCGCCTACCGATCGCGAGGCACCGCAATCCCA